GTTCTTCTATTCACCGCTCTGAAATGTTTCTCAGGACAGACAGACAGACCAATTTAAACATTAGCGGGAGAATCAGAGTATTCACCATCTTCCTTGACCAGTACGTCCTCAGATGTCCTTCATAATTGTGGCAGGAATCTGTGCCTGTCTCTACTTCCTGTTCCTTTGCTTCATGGTGTTCCAAGTCTTCCGTAACATCAGTGGAAAAAGGACTTCTCTGCCTGCCATGTCCAAAGCCAGACGGCTGCATTATGAGGTGCGTTTGGTTTGGTCTGATTGGTTTAATAGATAAACACACACATTCCCTAACATTTCTATATCTTTAAGCAGTTTTGGGAAAATTGGGGCACACCGATTGTCGTTTTCCGATAGATTGTCGGCCTCACCTGTCAATTTAAATTTCGGTGTATTAGGCATTTTGCAAATTCTCTCCAAAAATTGGCAAACTTACAATTTTTTGGTGGAAATTTACCTTTTTTTTTTGTTTTCTTTGTATTTTTTCCCCCCCTCTCTATAATTACTCCGATACATTGCCATATGTGGGGTTAGGGACTGGAAGGCTAAACAATAAAAATGAAAAATGAAGTGCAGGAACGCTAAGAACTCCCACTATTCACACATCAGCCAACAGCGTCTGCTGTGATGCAACATATATATATTTTTTTAGTTCAATTAAAATTAGACTAAGGTCAGGGATACATGTTTTGATGCATAAATGGGACAAAATTGTTACGTTCTTTTGGATTCAAAACCACTACCTGAATTAAATCCTGTATTTCATAAAATACAAGTAGAGACGATATTTGAGAAACAGAAAACACTTTCTGCTGATCAGTATTGATTACATTATTTCATTTTTAAATGAAATACAACAAACATTTTACAAAACAATGTGTGGATAATATTTTCAAAATTGAATTGTAAAATAAACTCAAACTGATTAACTTGACGGATGATAATGTTCTTGGCATCAGCTTGTCTCATGAAACTAACACTAGTCAGTAGATTTGGATGATCAAATTGTTCATATTGAATATTTGCATTCAAGATAGGCTCCTCCCACTTTGGAAAACACATTATGCTGATGATCGCTGTGATTCTAAATCCTGTCATTCCCCCCATTTTCAGGGTCTGATCTTCAGGTTTAAGTTCCTCATGCTGGTCACACTGACCTGTGCTGCCATGACCATCATCTTCTTCATCATCAGCCAGGTCAGCCTTTTGATTGGGTGCCTCTTGGTTTTTGACTCGTGTGAAGAAGCCCGTCAGAAACCATGCGTGTAATAGTTTCACGTCAGATGGATTCTTCCTCACTTTAAAAAGTATCCGCTGATCTGCAACGACGCAGCAGATCGAGACGAGACAGCAGCAGCTAGCAAACATCTGCTAATGCAAGTGAGAATCTGCTGAGCTCATCATAGGAGCTACTTCTCAGTGCAGAGCTGGTAAAAACGTTGTTAATAGAGGAGCCATGTTGGGATGACTTCCTGAAGGTGGAGTTTCAGCAAGAGAATGAATTTTTTTTAAAGAGACAGAACCAATTTCAAAAAATTGAAAGAATTTGTATTTTCTAATTTAAATCATATTTAAAGTGATGAAACGATTTCCCAGCAGACTGGAAACATCAGCTGCTTAGATTTCTGCATAGAATGAGCTCAGTTTTCTGCAAATCTAAGCATAATTACTCAGCATTTTCTACATATCATTGCTTACATCATTGAAGTTTATTTTTTTTTCTAATAAACATAGTCATTTTACTTGGAAGGCTACAACCATTTGTGTATTCATCTTAAAGCCCTGCTCTGGTCTGCAGTGATGTGTGTCTGATTCCAGGTGAACGAGGGCCACTGGCACTGGGGCGACCGCACGGTGCAGGTCAACAGTGCCTTCTTCACCGGCATCTATGGGATGTGGAACCTGTACGTCTTTGCCATCATGTTCCTCTACGCGCCTTCGCACAAACGCTACGACAACGAGCAGTCAAGTGGTCAGTGCATTGCCGGTAACTATGTTCCTACTGGCTTTTCTGAGAGCTTTAATTTGTCTTTAAGTCCTCGGTCACTCTCACTTTGCTCTCTTATGGAGCAAGAGTCCAGCCTGTGCGCTAAAGCTGTCGATTCATCCACAGATTTAATCTGGGGGTTGGGGGGTGTAGTGGTGACTGAGAGGGATCCAGGCTGCCATTGGACTGAGATGGTGGTTCTATTGGACTCCGGGCTCGCTTCCAGAGAGAGAGGGAAAAACTGTGACGTGAGGGGGAGGAGAGCGGTACCAGGAAGCAATAAAAACAATCTGACCATTTCTCGTCTTGTCGGAGATGAGGAAAAAAATAAGAGACATGACGTTGTGGAAGCACTTGATGGGAGGGGGCACTCTTTCCAGATTCTGCTCATGTTTTAGAGAGCTGGAAGTGTTCATGCCGGTGGAAATTCACCACAGCAGCTTCATATGGAAGAGCCTGCAACTCAAATACTTTATAGTTATGTTTTACTGTGAGTGTTGGGGTGTGTATATAGGGGGATGGGGGGTTCTACCGACTGACATCAGTGAATCTTTTCCCCTGTTTGAGAACACATCAGCTTTGAAATCTTCGATTTTCAAGCCACAGATTCACTGTTGGACTTGGAATACATGCATAAATACAACCTAAGATCCCAAAATGTGCAAAGTTTTGAGGGCTACAAAGACAAGTGTCAGGACCAACATGTGATGGTTGAATATTTTGGTTCTGATGATTTGTGTGTGTGTGGGTGTGTGTGTGTGTGTGTGTGTGTGTGTGGGTGTGGGTGTGGGTGTGTGTAGGTGACAGTGGAGCCACCAGTGGAGAAGACATCCAGCTGACCACCACCATCACCCATGTTGATGGACCCACTGAGATCTACAAAATGACTGGGAAAGAGGCCCAGGAATAGTTTACACTCTGTCCCAGACGCCCGTCTACTCCCCACTACTCTCATACACACCTCCCACCCATTGTCCACCCATTATCCCCCCATAGCGTCAACACTCCACTAGACAAGCGTCGGCTCACTACGATCAGTAAACATTAAACCTGTTCAGGTGGTGCCATGTTTCCATAGTCGTCCTTGTAACCTTCATGCTGGTCCCTGTTATTTCACTGTCACTTTTTATATTATACATATTTGTAGACTGTTGTTTGTAAATGTTGCACAATGTCTATTCCATAAAGCTGGGTACTGAAAAGCTGCTTTAGCTGGATTTTGTGTGTAGCAGCCGTCACACTCTGGTTTTTAAACAGACTGAGAAGAACGCAGTGAAGACATTTCAGCCAACTGTCCTGCTTTACCGTGTTCTCCTTTTTATTCAGGCTCACACGGCAGGTGGGTGACATGCTGCTGGCACTATTATTCTGGGTCTCTTTAATGACTGGGGGAAATGTACACAGGTCATTTGCTACTTTGGTAAATCATTATGCATTCATTGTGTTACAATGCAGATATCCATTTTTTTTATTTTTTTTATAAGAGTGCTCATTTTCAGCTTCACATACTGTAGCAGCAGGCTTTGAATGTTTGGGAAGTAAACTGTAGCCTTATACACTCTGTATTTAGTTTAGTGGTTTTTTTTCCCTTTTCTATGCTTATTTAAATAAAATACTTTTACTCTATACACTTCTGTGTTCTGAGCAGCTTTTTTTCTTTTACCACTAATGTAGGTAAGAACAAATACTTATTTGGAAAAGAGGGGAAAAAGGATAAAGATAGACTGAAATGATTGAGTTGCAAACGAGAAGTAGGAAGATGGCGCCCTCTGGTGGCTCAAAGTAGAACAGGCACTCAAACCGGAAGGGATCCTTAAAAATAAATACTTTTTGCGAAAACGTGCCTGCTTCACAGGGTCGGAAACTACAGTGGCAAACATTTTTTTGAAAAGTAGTTATTTGATTATCAGTGACGTTTGAAGCCAGAGTTTTGACATTAGGATAAAAAAAATTGTAGATCAATTGGAAGCAAACAATATTAGAGATTGTACTAATAAAGTTTAATAAAATATTTGTTTTTGCTGTAATTGCATGTTTAGGACTGATGGTAATAAGCGTGCGGGTTATTATTTGGTAGAAAAATTCTTTATTCCTTATTTATGCTGACTTTTTCAGTCAAAGTTGACATTTTTTTGTGAACCTCCGGAAGTTCCGCACATCCCTCGCAGCAGCAGCAGGTAACTTGACTCTGAACCGCCGCTTGCTGCTGAAGTTGGTATCTGATTCAGAACGTTCACTGACGCACTTCAATGGTTTTATGGAACGATCACTAAATTTGATCGTTCCAGGTCTAAAGCCTTACAGCGTTATGGGGAGAAGAACAGTTATTCTAAATTAAATACAGGTTCTTCAGTTTGATCAGTATAATATTTGTTCCATTTTCATCAAAGAAACCGCAGAAAAGGGCATTTTGTTGTTTTACTGCCACAATACTGAACATAGACTCAGCTCAGTGTTTCTTTACAGCACTGGGTGTAAATGGAGTTTATCTGTTCATTGTCTTTACTACATGTCCTTGCAGACTTGTAAGGGACCCAGTGCTCGGCAACACAAATCAGAGAATTTAGAGGCCAATTAACTTGGCATGTCATGTTTTTGGGAAGGAAACAAGAGTACCCAGAGAGGAGAACATGCAGACTCCAACAGTCCAAAGGCCTGGATCTGGGCCAATGGCCTCTGTGAGCCTCTGAGCCTGAGTCTTCTCTGAGTCTTCTGTGATGCAGAGGTGAAATTCAAAACAAATCGATCACAAGCAACAAGAAATTTAAAACTGGGTTATGCTTTGATGCTCTTTTCTATTAATTTATATGTTAATGTTTGTCATGACTGATTTCTACAGAGACAACAAATGTTTCCCAACCTTTTAAGTAGGGCTAAGTCCCCCCAACCCCCTCCAGGTTCCTTAAAGTAGGTGAAACAGCCCTTTACTGAAACTACAAACCAGACGCTGACTTCAAACTCGCCGAGTCCTGTGTTTCGGGTTGGTCCGCCTCTCTCCTCCTGACAACACTCGGCAGTTTTCGTCCAAGTGGAGGAGGAAAAAAAAAGAAAGCAAACAGTGGGCTGACCGCTCGCTCTGACACGCCACGAGAAGCTATCCGCGGTTTAAACCCCCACGGAGGCTCTGCGAGGGCAGTGAAGCTGCGGGGCGTCTCGGCAGAGAACAGGTGGTTTTATCCGCCGTGAGTTTGACAGAGCAGCCCCGAGAGGGAGCGGTCTCCTCCCAGCTTCCCCACGGACACGACTCGGCCCCAACCGGTCACCGGGAACCTGTTTGACCTGACTCCACGCTGACTGCACGCTGCACCGGGCAGGTAAGACTGACGTGTGTCGGTGTCGGTTGTCATTGACAGCGGGCCGCTTTGAGTGAAGCAACAGTTGGTTGTTGAGAGTGGAGACATGGTTGACATGGTTTACTGTCTGACTGAGTCTGGGCGGACAGTTTACTGTCAGCTTCCACGCAGCTGCTGGCTCTCCATAGTAAACCGTGACTCACTGCTGTCACCGGTGGGCCCTTCATCAGGTCTCCTCAGCACTGGGGGCCTTTTTGCTCCTCTCCCCCCACGCAGGCTCCACCTGCCTTCACAACAGAGGGAGTCCTTTTTGAAAGCTAATAGAGCAGCTGCACTGGTTAATCAGCCAGGCTGAGGATGATGGTTTCCATCAGCGCTGCTGGGATGAAGAGGAGAAGGAGATGTTTACATGTGGGCCATCAACAGCTCTGTTCACACACACATACTCACTCGTGTACACCCCCCCTCCCCACACACACACACACACACACACACACACACACACACACACACACACACACACACACACACACACACCCTCCTGGTCATTAGGAGGACAGAATACAGACCAACCATTGATAAGGCCATCTCATTAGTATCCTACTCAGCTCCATCAAAGCCTCCTCTCCATAGCCATCCGGCCGAGGGGCCCACCTCAGGCCCAGGATCAGCTCCATTCCCTCGGTGAACATCCTCTGTAGGGGTGAGCTGATAAATTTCCTTAATTTTAGGAGGTTAGGGATTGGCCAATGCATCTAATCTGCCTCCACAAAGGTCTGAAAGTCAGCCCACCGAGTCACGTCTGCGGTTAATAATCACCCCACTGTTGCCAACTTAGCAAATTTGCTATATTTTCTGAATTTTCATACGAAAAAATAATCAGAATCAGCCCAAACAGCTTTTAACAGCAGCCTGCAGCCAAGAACATTGTGGCATAGTTGTTAGGGATGCAAAAAGGCTCGATGTCCAACATGTTAAAAATGTTGTGATATTAATATTTATATCCATCTTTTTGCTCTTTGTGTTTTGGGAGTGTGGCAGGTTGGTCTGGAGGACTTTTGTGTGTTTAACTGAAGCAAAGGAGGCAACGTCAATAAAGTGGTCATTTAAATATATAAACTCTGTAATAATTTTTCCTTTATTATGTAGTGCTTTATTATTTTTTGTTTATTATCATTATTTTCTTCTGTGCTTTGATGAGAAGTCAGACTTTGCTGTGTTGGATCAGATGTCCTGGTGTTTTTACTCCGGCTGCATTTAAAACCTTGAACAAGTGAGTTCATCACGACGACGGGGCTGATACGGCTCATGGAAATGGATCATGATGTAAACACCATCCTGCTCGATGCGGGAATCAGATGTGGCTCAAGATTGACTCCGAATTTCAGGTTGAGTCACAAACCCAGGGACTCTGCACATTTTCTCAGTCTGCACCAGAATGCTGCTGGACTCGCTCAGCAGCTCTGCGGACAGGTTCTGAAAAGAGAAGAGAGGCGACGCCATGAGCCGTCTCAGCAGCCGGGATCTGTTTCCTCATAGCGCCGGCTGTGGTCTGCTCTCTATGGATCGATCGGTGAGGCAGGACGTCCCTCACTGATTCCATAACTTCCTTCGCTGAATCAGTGATTTGTGACGTTTTCCTTGCATGTTTCTCACACTCATACAACAGAAGAGAGCATGAAGAGAAATTGCCACTCAGCAAAGAGTTAGAACTGCTCTCGAAAGTTTGGGAGTTAAAAGGCCAGGATTAGGTAGTGTCATTAAACGAGACTTGGATAAATAATTTAAAACTTTTAATGTGATTTATTCCTTACAGAGTCTGTTTGCATGAGCTCAACCACTTTATGTTTCATTTTTTTAACACTTATCTATTTGATTGCCTTATATCAGCATCCCACATCTCCTACACGCTCACAAAGAAAAGTTCAAATGTCTCAGACTCTGGTTATCTGTAGAATTTAGTTCTGGAATTTGAATAGGTCATTTTTATAATGTAATCTTTTCTCTCTTGAAGTTATACTTCTGCTGATCTGGATTCATGCTTGGGCTCAATGTGAATCTTTTTAACCTTCATGTTTCTGTGTTCTCAGCCACATGCAGAAAAACAACAATAAACTACCACCAGAGCATGATTCTGCCACTGCCATGTTTCGGTGTGGTCAGAATGTGTAGAGATGGACTATTCCATTTACACACATTTAGGGCCACATAATTTGTCCCTTTATGTGGCCCTCTAGACTTAGAGGGCCACATGTGGCCCTCTAGACTTAGAGGGCCACATAAAGATAACAGTTGTGTGCTTTGATATTATTTTAAAGCAGTTATCTGTATCCTGCCAAATTACATCAATGTGAAAAAAAATCATTGTGTAAAAATTATTTAATTTTTATATCTGATCACTAAATACAGACAACTGTTTATTAATATGTTAACAGTTTATTAATAGGGAGCTTTATCAATACATTGCCTCAACTGGCCCTTTGAGGACAATCGTGCTCTTGATGTGACCCAAATTTAAAATGACTTTGACCCCTTGACCCCGAGCATTCTGCGGGATTCCAAGGCGCTCCTGGGCCAGACAGGATGCAGCATGCCTCCAGCCAGGTCTGTGTATTCCCATGGGTCTCCTCCCAGTGGGATGTGACCCTTACATCCCTTTGATCCCTTGTAGCCTCTTCCTGGCTTTAGCTAAAGGATCATCTAGGACAGCTGAACCTTAAATCTGCTCCATCAGATGCACTGTAACTGGCTGGTCTCCTGGTTGTTTATATTACACTGTATCTCTCACTGCCTTTCCGTCTGATTCATCATAAAAGTAATGCAATATGAATATGAGGCTGGCCTCATGGACTACTGTTTGAAGGTATTTAAAGTTGATATGAACCTGTAAAAACACAAAATCTTACTCAGTATTTTTGGTCTAGTTTCTAATCTGAGACAAAAGACAAAATTAACTTTCATGTTACTTTTCAGTAAAATCTGGGAGTTTGTTAATATTGATAGATAATAATTCTACTGGAAAATGATTTAATGAAAACAAGACTTTTTCCCCATGTTATAAGAGAGATAATCTGCTGTGGAACTAGTAGGTTTTATCAATATTAAGGAATTATTTGTTTAAAACAAGCTCTATATCTTGTTAAAAAGTAACTTCTAGATTACATAGAAATAAGTTACTTGTACTTAACTTAACTTATAAGTAAATAAGTTACAAGTAAGGTTGAGTGACTGAATATATTTTCAGTGACTAGATCTAGTCTCAGATTTGACACCAAACTATTTAACAACTAACCACTTTGACTTTTCTAAACATATCTTAGAAGAATGAAATGACTTTCTTTTCCTTTCCTGTCAGGTTTGCAGTTCAGTGCACTAGGTGTGGATTATTAACTCCACTTTAATAACAACAGCAGCATTGATGGAGGATATTCTGCTTTGTGTGTGGAATGCAGCCCTCATGAACCAGATCTGGTGTTTCATGTCTGTATCATTTAGACCAATCAGACTGCAGGAAATCCTTTCGAACTGTATTAGATCAGAAACATGATATTGGAATGAGTTTCAGCTGAAGGATCTGTAGAGATGGACTGAGGAGTTTCATTCTCCGTCCTTCAGATGTCAGATAACCACCCAGATATTGGTTTAATGAATGACATTCTTGTAGCAAATGACTCTGGAATCTCTGTTGTTCTTTTAAATCGTACTGCAGTCTTTGATACTGCAGACCATAATATCTCTCTGGTTTGAAACACTGGCGTGGAACTGAGGGTTTAGCCCTAGATTCGGGTTGTTCCTGTTTGAATGACAGAACATGCGTCATAAAGGATAAAGGAAGTGGACCTTAGATCTTCATTTTCTTGCAAGAAATGATTCTTGTGGGGTTCCTCAGGGCTCAATTCTCGACCCTCTTCTGTTTTCTTCTACCTGCTTCGGTTGTGGTGTATTTTTTTGTGCTTCAGTTGCTGTCTACAGTCCATGACTCTGGTGGGCTTTGACATTTATCACTGGTTATAGGTACCTCACCTACCACTGTGTCCTGTATTGTAAAGCTAGCATTTTGTCCCTGCCTATCAGGCGACATTCATACTGGATCACTCAAGTCTCCTATTGACCTGCTTCCTAATTATTTATGTACTTTCATTCAGAAAGCAGAAACTAGCTATGCCTTCTGCTCTAAGGATTGTTTGCACCTCTATGTTCCTCGTGTACGAACGGAAAAAGGGAACGATTTTAGTTTTTCTGCACCCTCTGAACTAAAACTAAAACTCACCTTGGTCTTGTTATTGAAGTCTTTTTGCAAAATAAAAAAAACACCCAGCAAAATCTTTAAATTAGTGCTGTTACAACTGCTATGTTAAAGAGGTTTTGATCTCAAAGTGTTTTTTTATGTGGTTAAATAAATATTTAATAATCAAAAAACCCAACTCAGGCATACCCACAACCCACGTAATAACTTTGGTTGTCTCGAGTTATTCATCAAACCATGCAACAAATTTGGAAGTAATTAATGGATTTGGATTTCAAATTAAACTAATCAGCTCTGTTTTAAAGAACTTTCTTATTTTAAAGAAAGTATTTGTGTGACCACAAACTGAAAAGAGGAGGAGCCTAACCACTTCTTCACATCACTGTTTGTGTTACAGCTGAATATTTGCTTCGTATGCAGGAGTACATGCACTGAGAGCGGCAGAGACTCCACATACAGACACACCCATCAGTTGGTTTGATGGGTGTGAGAGCTACTTTGATAAAACGTTCAACATGGGTGGGGATCGTTTAGTTTTGCCTGAAACGAGCCAGGTAGATCATGTTGTGAACAGCATAAGGAGCACTAATTCACTAATCGAGTCAGGAAGTGTTGTTGTAGCAACAATCTCAGATGGGTTGGAGAGGCAGTACCTTCCACTCCTCTCATCTCTGAAACTATGTCATGGTTTTCAGATGGTGTGTTGTGATTGCAGCTCGGTTTCCTCACTGCTGTCGATGCACTTTCTGTCTGCTTTTCACTTCTGGTACATGAT